GGCGTCTCGGCTGCCAGCTTCGCGCACTGCATGTTTTGGGGTTTGGATATCTTTACCCCGCCGCTATGTATGGATTTGCATGGTTTATGTTCTGCAAGATTTCTTTAAGTCTGAGCCAAGTGGCAGCCCTTTTGGCTACCACGCCCTCCAGAGCCATGAGCATCAACGAACAGGCACTGGAAGTGGCAAGGCAAGCCAACCACCAGTACAGTCAGCAGGCGGCAGTTGTTGGGCAGCCAGTACACCAAGCCGCCCAGCAGATGTTCTGGGAACAGAGACGTAAGCGTGGTCCCCACGCCGGCCTTTTCCTCGACGGGGTTGGCCACCCCAGCCGGAGAGGATGCAGGTGGCGCCACAGATCGAGCCGAGCCCAACACGGTTCCGCAGCCACCGCAGTCTACTACCACGCCAGGCACGGGCCTCTTTCAGCCCGTTGTTCTGGAGACAGACGTCGCCTACCAGTCCACGGCCAATTCGATGGGAGTCGACATCCGCGACCAAACCGCCATGGAGAGCTGGCTTGGAGAGCAGATTACCACGCGTGTGCAAGTGCTGCAGACCATCAGGCACTACCACACAGCGGTCATCAGACCGGAACTCTACAACCTCATCAACCAGGTGGAGACAACGCTGCTCAACTTTGATGACAGGCTACTACGCCAGAACAGGGAGCTCCAGTGGCTCTGTTCTGACAACAGGGCGGAGCAGCGCAGAGCTTCTGGCATGACGGTCTTGCTCACAGGATTCCCGGCTACCTCGCCTCCTGCAGAGAGACACTTCATGATAAACTGGATGTTGGCTCAGGTAGATTCTTTGAAGACCTTCCTGAGACAGAGAGGCAATGATCCAGACTCAGGCTCTGACTTCATCATGTTCCAGGTCCTCACTGCAGATCCGACCACCCCGCCAGCAGGCAGTGAAAGGTGGAGCACAGTTTGCATGATCCACTTCAAATCCTGGGAAAGCCGTTCGGCATTCATGGCGCAGTATGGAGGCGCAGCAGGTGTGCCATACTACAGGGATTCCTGGACACCTGTCAGGAATACCCACATTAGAGCAACCCCAGCATCGCCTCAGTTCCAGAGAAAATTGGAGCTCCCGCTGCGAGTCATCCTGAAGGCTATCAATACCATTGAGGCTGACAACAACCAGGTAGTCATCTTGTGGAAGACCCTCACGGTGATGAAGCCACAAGCGCAAAGGACCTTTGACGAGCAGATTGAGGCTGTTGCCAGGCTTCACTACGCAACAGAGCAGGGGCAGCTGACTGGGGTTCTTGAGGTCAACCCTTACCTCTGGGACCTCCTCAAGACCAACCCGCCTTCTTGGGCAATGTCCGATGACACCTCTGTTTGGGACTATGCCTGGAATGTTGTGGTCTTTGGCATCCAGCACGAGTTGGACCTTGCTGAGCGCGAGCTGTATAGCGCTGCCCACCTCAACGCCAAAGGCGATGGGAAGGGCCTCAAAGTCGGTCGACCACCCCGCCACTGGACTGGCGCCGGCAATTTACAGCTCAGAGCACTCCCCCTGCCCAATAGAGCTGCGTGTAAAGAGGGTGGAAGCGGTAGCATTTGTTTGGGATGAGTACTCTGGAGGTACCTTCGAAC